AATTCCTGTCTTCACATTTCTCTTCTCTCCACACTGAACTCATTCGCATGCTAACCCACATTTCACTCTCTGGGACCAAGCCTATCTTCAGCCAGAAAATGTCTCAGGAATTTTTCATCACTCAGGTCCCTTCCCTGTAAATCAAATAAGTTTTAATAAACAGATTATTGTGCCTTTATGTCCTCCATCTGAACACCTCTTTCAGGAGCTATATCCCTTTTGGCCCTTTTTATGAAATACCCAGAAAATCGGCATAACACAAAGCATCTAGCAACATTCAATCAGTTGATTTTCTTTTGTTCAAAAGATCAGAATTCTCTTACCTTGCCTGTACTTCCATCTAGACCCTGATAAGTGATTGCAGTGCCTTCCACAGGAATATCTGACTATATATATTGCAGAACCTTTACTGCTATCTGTTCCTCTGGGGTACCAATGTCTACTTGTTTCCGTACTGTCTGAAGTATGCCCTTTACCTGCCTGGGTGCATCTCTTCCCATCAACTACAGTGGGGTCTGTCTCCTCTACAGCACTGTTTATGGTTACTGGTGAATGGACATAGATGGTCTATTTACATTTATCCAAAGAGGATGAGCATAAAAAGCTCTGGGCTAAAAATTGGGGAAAACTGGTATAAGTCCTATGTATGACAGTAACTAAATGGATAACTTAGAAAAATATATTTAAATTCTTTGAGTCTTAGTTTCCAATCTCCTCATAAGTAAATAAAAGTACTGTCTATTTCTAAGAGTGGTTGGTTCCAGAGAAGTAAGACTAAAACAAGAGAAGAGATTTTATAAGCAAAAAATCTATTGAAATGCAAGGTAGTTTGAATATTTTTTACTTTTACCTGTCAAACCTCAAGATCCTTCTTTCACATTACAAAGGCCCTGAAGCTTTAGAACTGTCATATAGTAGCTTTACATTTATAAAGCACAGCTTTGTAATTAAGTTATAAGCAAAGAATCCAGACTTGAAATACAATTAAAATTATCATTTTAATTCTCCTAATTAGAGCATTCTTAAATATTTTATGAGTTTTACAATATTAAAAACTGCTAAATACTTCATTTAGTTCTGCCAATTAACACAAAACGTTCGAAGAGAACTGCATCAGTAATCGCTGTGATTATTAATGCTTTGGGTACCAATAAACTATATGCACCTTCCAGGTCTGAGCACTGGCCTCACAGCCGTTCAGAAAATAATCCCTGCATTATAATCATTATGTATGAAAGGGGACTAAAATAATTGATGGTGTAGTGTGGTGGTTAAATTTCAATCTCTGTTGGGAGGCTGAGGTGGACAAATTGCTTGGGCCCAAGAGTTTGAATCCAGCCTGAGCAACATGATGAAACTCCATCACCAAAAAAGATACAAAAATTAACTAGGCATGATGATGTGTGTCTACATAGTCTCAGCTACTCAGGAGACTGAGGTGGGAGTATCACTTGAGCTCAGGAGGCAGTGGTTTCAGTGAGCTGAGATCGCCCTGCTGCACTTCAACTTGGACAACAGAGAGATACCCTATCTCAAAAAAAAAGTTTAAATCTCTGAAATAAGACTGAGTACAAATCCCAGGTTTGCTTAAAATGCAGATTTACACAAATCCCCCTACTCACTGATACTCCCTGTGTGACTTTGAGCAAGTTCCTTCCTGTCTCTGTTTCCTCATCTGAATAATGGGCAGAATAACACCACCTAGTCCATAGGTATATTATGATATTCAAAAGCAATAGCACATATGAACTGCCAAGTAATGAATAGAACTCCATTAATGATTGCTATTACTATTGCATGTTTTATTGACACCGGAATAATTGCTCTTATAAGTTAAAATTGGAGCAAGTCTTTTCGTATGGGTATCCAAAAAACATCTATGTCCTTCCATTCGAGGTCTTAGCTGGTTTTATTTTGATTCTCTTTTCAATGCCAGCATAGGTTCTCTAAAAGAGAACACTAGAAATACTCATAAAGCTTCTTCTATTTATCATTGACCCCAACAGAGAGGTCTCTAACAAAACCCACAGGACTGTCAAGCACTCATCTTTTCTATTAGGTTTTTGCTCTTTTGAGTTACCTTTTTCTTGTCAAAAAGGTGACTTTTTATAGTTTAGATCATTCAGAGTAACTCTGTATTAGAGAAGGCCATGGCTTTTTTCACTGACTCTTACAATAAGACAATTGGAAGTACAAACAAGTCTGGACTCTTTACTTATATTGAACTGACACTTCAGGGGAAATGCTAAATGAACATTAAACCCTCTTCACCTTTCCCACTTCTCTGGTTCCAGAGAGCAACTGACGTGGAACTCTGTCATGATCAGCTCCACACTAGTTAGCCAAACGCTTGGCAAGTGCACATCAATATTAATGCTGCCAGGTTTCATAATCAGTGTTTGGCTTGTTGTTAAAATATTTTAATATTATAATTGGGTAGCTCCTGCTCCTTAGTCCAATAGCTTAATTTATCCTAGTGACAAGCCTTAATTTTCTGAAATATTTTAGATTTGTGTCCAGTGTTTGGAGAGGTCCAGCTAAAACTGCAGGGCCTATGTCCAGATATATCAATTGCATACCGTTACTCAACTTGAACCTTTAATTATATCATTGAAATCATTCTGCTATGCTGTTTCTATCTCCATTCTGTGGGTAGTCTGCATTAAAAAATACTACAAGAATAACCCAGTAATCTCTAAGATCTTATCTAATTTTGATAATGTATAATTTTAAGTACATCTTTCTATCCTAACTAAATATTCAGGCATAAGACCTAGGAAGAAGGGATGTGGAGACTGTTAATGAGTCTGACCCCGTTGGAAATTTCTATGAACTAAATTTAAAAAAAAAAAAAAGAGTTAGAAAATAAGAGATTCAAACAATATGTCTGGCACCATTTGCTTTACATAACAGATCAAGGACAATGACTATGACCTCTTCATGAGTTTCTTGAGTTTATCATTTTTAACATCCCCAATATTAGTCCATGATTGTTGCTGGAAGACCTATCAGTACCTTGAAGTAGTTATCATTTAAGCTTTCAAAAGGAAAAGACCTGTGTGGTGGTTTATGGCATGTTATGAGCTGGAACCTGTCACAAAATATGCAGGAGATTGTGTCTGTTGTGCTGTGAATGCTAGAGAAAGAAGGCTCCACAGCTTATAGCAAATCAGTGGAAAAAGAAGTCAGCCTGGTTCGTGGTTTAGTTCCTTTAAGAATTTGCTCCCAGCCCAGTGTGGTGGCTCACGCCTGTAATTCCAACGCTTTGGGAAGCCAAGGCCAGACGGATCCCCTGGGATCAGGAGTCCGAGACCAGCCTGGCCAACATGGAGAAACCCATCTCAACTAAAATAGCTTCTGTCAGTATAATGAAAGAAATTTCCTATGGAAAATTAAGAGAAGCTAGAAAAACAGAACCATCAAGATTATTAATACAGACATTTCTAGTTTATAGAATTTGAAATCTACATGTAGTAACTTTCTTCCACTGCCATATAATGAAAATAAATTTCTTTGGTGTACATTATTTGGAAGTCTATTAATGTTCTTGCTGAAAAAATGATTTGATAAAAAAATAATAATGCTCATCTTTGTGCTTGATAAAGTGTACTTGATAGGGCAAATGGGAAATATTTACATTTCTAATAGCTGGGCTGGGTGCAGTCGTTCATGCCTGAAATTCTAGCACTTTGGGAGGCCAAAGTGGGTGAATCACATGAGCCTAGGAATTCAAAACCAGCTTGGCCAACTCGGCGAAACCCCCATCTCCACTGAAAATACAAAATTCAGCCAGGCATGGTGGGGCATTCCTGTAATCCCGGATGCTCAGGAGGCTGAGGCGGGAGAATTGCTTGAACATGGGAAGCAGAGGCTGTAGTGAGCCATGATCTCAGCTGAGGTGGGAGGATCGCTTGAGCCCAGGAGGCTGCAGCAGGCTATGAGCTCACCCCTGAACTCCAGCCTGGGCGACAGAGTGAGGCCTTGTGTCAAAAGAAAACAAACAAAAAATAAAACAAAACAAAAAGCTGGATGTAAGCTAACTGTTGAAATGAGATATATGAAAGGCAAATGACAATTCTAGAAAATATACATTAAATACTTAGTGAATAGAACAGGCAATTTCTTCACAACAGGTAGAAATCACAAGGACTGAATAAATTGATGGTTTATAAAGGAGGCATTCCAAACAGGAAAAATGAAATGAGCAACATACGAAGACATGAGCCAACATAGCATGCTTGCATGATACACACAGATCAATCTGGTTAGAGTAAAGGTTTCTGCTGGGTGGTACAGAAGATACATCTAGAAACATAAATCAGGGATAAACTGCAGTAGAACTGGAATACCACCACTTCACAATTGAGTTCTAAGAAGGTAGGTGATACGTGCACAGAATTTATTGGGAAAATCAATTTGGCAGACTCTGCCAAAAACTCCAAGTCCTCTGAGTCTGCGTTTCTTGCAAAACAGTACTGGTCTAATTATTTTTACCTTATATCATCAATGGTATCTTTCCTACTTTATTAAGTCTTCAACACATGGAAAACCTCCTTGCAACAGGACTTTGTTTCAGAATATCATGCAAGAATTATAATTAGAAAATATTAGTAGTAGTAATTGCCATTTACTGTTGAGAAGATCATATGCAGAAAGACTAGCCATATGTGATTAAGTGGTGACTAGATGCTTCTAAAGTTGAATTAAAATGTCACAATATGAAAAAAAGCATTAGGAAATAGTATGATATCAAAATCAGTTACTAATATAGCACCTAAAGACGAGAAAGGATTTTGTTTCGGAGATTGATAAGGAGGGTATACTGAATGAAGCTATGCTGCCTATGTAAAGTGTTTAATATCTCTCTCCTAACTTTAAAGAATGAAAACATAAACTTAAATTGTCAAAAAAGGTGTTTTGCTTAAAATGCTACAAACCAATGCTCTCTTTATCTTATAACGGGAGTTTGTGTTTTGTGTGTTTCCCATTGGTTTCCTCAGACTCAGATTAGTCCTAAAGAAGGGTGGCAGGTGTACAGCTCAGCTCAGGATCCTGATGGGCGGTGTATTTGCACAGTTGTTGCTCCGGAACAAAACCTGTGTTCCCGGGATGCCAAAAGCAGGCAACTTCGCCAATTACTGGAAAAGGTAGGTGTCCAGTGTCCCCTATGCATATTTTAGTAAAATCGACCATTCTTTGAAAAGGAGATATGGTAGAGCTGGTAATAGTGAAGAGGATTCTTTTGATTTTTGTTCCCCTTCTCAAATAAGCTTTTTCCTGTCCTTGAAAGGGCTACCTTAAGCTGTCCTTGTCCGATTTCTGTGAATTTTTAATTTTTCTAACCTTGACACTTTAAGACTGGCTCTCTACCATATACCTTAATCTCTAGTTGGTCTCTCATTAAGGAACAACAAGAAAAAAAAGCAATTTATTCTGATGCCAGAAATTCAGCCTCGACGCTCAGCATCACACTAGACTCTTGGAGCTCATACTTTTGGATCCCATAACAATCTTGCAAAAAAGTTAAAATAATTACATGCAACATGCAAGCTATCTGGACAGATAATGAATAATTCCAAGTGTTTATCTTCATTCTCCAAGTCATTCCTTTTAACATTAAGCTCTTCAATTTCATTCAATAACATTCTCTCCATAATTTACTTAATATGGATTCATAACAATCAAATGCAGAATGTTTTGGATTTATTCTCTTTTACAGATAAATGTCAGCTCATGAAAAGTTATTTAGGTTTAGTTGGGAGGGAGGAAAACCAATGAATGGTTCTGTCCATTATTCTCACTCAGATTTTCACTGTGCTGGGCTCTAAATGTAGTAAGACAGCTGGGGTGGCCAGATTACGGAAAGATGACATGTTTGGATTTTATATGTCATCAGGAATTACAAGATATATTAGGTAGTATGTGTTTTAGAGGACACCACGCTTAACGATTCACTCTGTGTGATGTCATTTTTATGATCCACCCACACATTTATGGCATTGAATAGAAACTTTTTAACAAAAAATAAAGAGAAGCTAGAAAAATGAAATCAAGTTTTTTAATAGATACTCATTGTTTATACAATTTCAGATTGCCATGGTGACTTTCTTCCACTACTATATAGCAAAAATAAGTTGCCTCTGTGTATATTATTTGCAAGTATATTGAAACTCTTAAGATTTTAAGATTTTTTTCATGTGTTTATACAAAGTTTAGTCTGTTTCTCCTTCCCCTCTTCTTGAAGTTATCATCACCTATTGGCTCTTTCTTCTTAAGCCTCCTTTTATAGCAAGATCCCGTTCTTTCAGCTCCCTCAATATCTGTCATCCGACAAGAGTATATGTCATTTTCATTCAAAATAATGACTCCAGCTAACATGCATCTAAACTCTTAGAAACCATGACAAAGCCAGATAACCTCAGCACTTTGGGAGGCTAAGGCAGGTGGATCACCTGAGGTCAGGAGTTTGCAAACAGCCTGGCCAACATGGCAAAACCCCATCTCTACTAAAAATGCAAAAGTTAACTGGGTGTTGTGGTGAGCACCTGTAATCCCAGCTACTCAGGAGGTTGAGGCAAGAGAATCGCTTGAACCTGGGAGGCGGAGGTTGCAGTGAGCCGAGAACACTCCACTACACTCCAGCCTAGGTGACAGAATGAGAATTATTTTTATTCTTGCGTTTTATCTTCCAATGTTGATTTTTTTATTTATATAAAAATTCAAACATATAGGATAATTGTGTTTGTTTACCAGGGAAATTATTTACATTAGTAAAATGATCTAATCTTTTACATCCAATTTTGCTTTTCTGTTAAATTGTATTTCCCTTCAGATAATCAACATTTTTCACTAATCTTCTTTTCTACCCAGAAATATATGTTTTTCTGCATGAATTTAGGTGAAACATTTTCTTAGACACCATACTTTATCTTCTGTGTTGCTGTTTTACATTACATACACCTACACATAGATTCAAACATGTCTTCAAATATCAGTTGAAAAAATTCAAATAAAGTACAAATGTCAGAAGTGGATAATTCCATTTACAGGTTCAAAGTAAAATTTCTTTCAGATCTATGATAAAACTGGGAATTAGTGAAAGATGAATAAAACGAAAATATATGAAAGTATTTCACTGGTTGGTTGAAAACAATATAGAAATTAATATGACCACTCTATCCATCCAACATGTAATTTGTCTGAATGTTTTAAAGAAACTCTAGAACATCATGCCTTTAAAAATTTATTAATACATAAATGACAAAAAAACACAAATAAAATTTATTAACAAAATTGAAGTCACTACAAGGTAGATATATTAAATTTACCATATGGTAGTTTTAGGGCAATGGAGGAATCCTAAATTGTGTGCACTCTTTTACAGTGGCCTGAAGGAGGTTAGGTAGCACTGGTTTTCTGCACTGATCCAGAGGAGAAAAGACATCTGAGACACCATGGTATTTCAGACTGATCTAGTCCCTGGCTGTCCTCTCTCTAGTTTCACATGTATCCAAGACACCAAACGGAAAACAAGAGCGTGACCTCTAAGTGCCTCCTTCACTTTTAACCAAAAAGATCGATTTAGTTGTATATAAGGGAATATTGTTAACAAAAACAAAACACATTTACAACAAGAATTCCCTTTTTAGTATATTTTATCATTTGTATCCACTTCTTTCAATCCTTATAGACAGAGTAGTTATCTAAATTTACATAAAAGAAAACTGGTTGTCCAGTGTCACTCAGTCAGTAAGCTGTGGGCTGTAACATCCATCTGCATCTTCTCAATGCTATACCAGTGTCACACAAAATGCCACAGGTGTATCCATACTTATTTAAGTGATGTTCTGTTAAACATTTTTAACAAGTATTTATATTATTGAATATTAGAAAAAATATAATTGGTTTCATAGTATTTCAGGTCTTAGTATGCAAAAACTAAAATTGCTCACCTAAAAAAGTATATGTTTGTTAACTATATAGCTTCCCTGTACAGTTAAAGATGTGTTGTATTATCTAAGTCAATATTTCCTAAAGTGTGATTTTTTTGAATAGGATACTGCCAACATCCTCACCAATAAAATCAGTTTAAGAAACACTGTACATGATACTTCACTCTTGAAGATTTCTAATACACAGTTTACTACTAAGGGTTTTGTTAAGTCCCACAGTCAGGAAATGGGTTTATATATGTTAAACCCAAGTTATCCAAACATATTTAATCAATAGAACTTTGGTTTTTCAAGTGCCGCCTCGCTAATTATGAGAGTGAAAATCTAAGTTAATTTGTGTTTAAGTTCAAAAAAGCCCCAGATATTTTATTTATACAAAGAGCAGGAATAAATAAAGATTCCAAAAGAATTATTTAAGAAAGGGGACAATGAGCTTGTCAAACTATGCAGAGAGAGCCTAAGCACAGAAACACCTATGGAAAGCTGAATCACAGAACAACTGCAGAGATAAGCTGACAAAAAGAGGGAACACAGCAGACAGGTCTCCTTCCCTACACAAGTCATCATGGGTATCCAGTCTCCTGTACCATCAGGAAACTGATGCTCCGTGGGCCTCCATAGCCATTGGGAAACTAAACAATCCTAGGTACAGGCAGCAGGAAATGCTTACGACAACCTGGAGCCAAATGCTGCCCAATTAGGCAGCTCTATCTCTAGCCATTACCCCAAATGTACCTCTTCTAATTACACATGATTCTGCAATATAGATCACAATCAACTCTCCGCAAAAACTCTCTCAGTGCATTTCCCCATAACACAAATGAAGTTGAAAATTTACTTTATAGGGTGAGTCAGAGGCAAAAATAAAGACAGGCTATTTTAACTCTATCCAGAATGCCTTATCTTGTCCATTATTTTCTAATTGTATGGACTTGGTCCAGCTACGTAGAATTATTAGCAGGATATCAGTTATACTAATGATAGATGTCTTCACAGACAAATGCTGTATTTAAATAGGTAGACAGATTTTTAGTGCAAATGGCTTTTCCGTATTCATGCTTAACCACAAATGAAGTTAGAAAATTACGTTGCATTGCATTTATCCACGATGGCGTTACCATGTTTTCAATGTTGTCTTAGTAATCTTGTGCTGCACTAAATATTTAAAAAATTAAAAACAAAGCTTTCTGAATATAAAACTGTTAGAAAATTAAGAAATACTTATAGTCCTGAAATGCTGTTGCCTAACCAGAGACAGGAGGGGGAAGACTCTTCTTAAAATTCTAACTACTTATTATTACCACTACAAACCCAAGATAATTTTACTCAATAAATATTTATTGAACACTTATTCTGTGCCTGGTTCTGTGTAAAGTCTTGGAAATGGAAGATATGAATAAGACACAGCTTCTAACCTCATGGAGCTCACAGAGGGAGAGCCACTTCCCTGCCCCTACCCCACACCCACATAACACAGTTAGTTTTAAGATAAGCCAGACTGTAATATGTCCTAAAAGAACAACCTTCAAACAGGGCAAGATGATGGATCAAGACAACATAGGGAACAGAAAAGGGTGAAAAAAAGGCAAAGAACTGAGGCAGGCCATGGCAGTATTCATTGCCTTTTACCAATATTATAGTTCTAAGGAATGTATCAGCTATGGGACATTTACAGCTGGTCCACTAAGCGTTGTGACTTTATCCGATGACAAAAATTTGTGCCTGAACAAGTCATGCCTTTGTAATTCACATTTGTCAATGAAAATAACTTTTTACTGATTATATGTATGTGCATGTATGTGTATTTGATTTAGAATAAACAGATTGGCTGGGCTCTGTGGCTCATGCCTGTAATCCCAGCACTTGGGAGGCCAAGATGGATGGATCACCTGAGGTCAGGAGTTCGAGACCAGCCTGACCAATATGGTGAAGCTGCGTCTCTACTAAAAATTACAAAAATTAGCTGGGCATGGAGGTGAGCAAATGTAGTCCCAGCTACTCAGGAGGCTGAGACAGGAGAACTGCTTGAACCCAGGAGACAGAGGTTGCAGTGAGCCAAGATCACACCACAGCACTCCAGCCCGGGTGACAGAGTGAGACAAAAAAAGAAAAAAAAAAGATCAAATTATGTAAAGATCTTTACATTTGCTTTTCTCATTGAAATCTTTCCATGTTGAGCAGCACTTCTCAAACTTTGATAGGCATAGGAATCACTTGGGAATCTTGATAAAATGCAGATTTTGATTCAGTAGTTCTGGATGAACATTTCTGAGATTTTGCATTTCCGACAAACTCCTAGGTGATACAAAAGTTGTTGCTTTGAGTACTAACAGTACAGAGATTATCTTATTCTTTATAATGGATCATTCATATTCTATTTCTCTAATTATTTAACAGCTCCCCATTATTAGTGGCTTTAACTTTGTTTTCAGTTTTTTGCTGCCATAACAATTAGACCAGTCATTTTTTCCCTTTCATTTCTGCATATTTTATAGGTTACCTCTTTTTTACTTCTAAATAGCCCAGGGTTCAGTGAACCTGGGATGGCGCTATTGGCTTAAAATGTGTTTAACACCTGTCTATGAAGCACTTGATACAGTTACCATTTTCTGGGTCCCTTAAACACTATGCTGTTGAATTTACGCAGTGTTCCAGCACTGCTATAACTTGTCTTGGTCAGTTCCATCTCTCCCCTGGCACTACTTTAGACGCATTAAGAACTTATTGTACTAGAATGAATGCATTCTAGTCCTCTTGGACACTTCACTACCATCCGTAATTGCTAAACATCCTAGATATTTAAAAAGTCAGAATTAGTACTTACTGAAACAACTTATTTTGACATTTAACATGTTGGCGTCTTTTAAGCTTACAAACCCTTAAAATGAAAAACCTATTTTTAAAGCTCATTTTTCTAATGTATTAGACTAACATATTCAGTCAGTTCTAATGCTGGAATGCCCATTTTTAAATTTCCTGTCTAATTTTCTCTTGCTGAATTCTTTAAATGTTTATCATGAAGAATTGTTCTTCTGAAAATGTGTCACATGGGAATGCAATTATGAATTTGGCACTTCTAGTTTTTATATTAATGACATTTTTGCTGTTTCTTCATGATTGCACAAACCTGCAAACAGATAGTAATTACAGACAATATTCTTGTTTAACAGGTTCAGAACATGTCCCAGTCTATTGAGGTCTTAAACTTGAGAACTCAGAGAGATTTCCAATATGTTTTAAAAATGGAAACCCAAATGAAAGGCCTGAAGGCAAAGTTTCGGCAGATTGAAGATGATCGCAAGACACTTATGACCAAGCATTTTCAGGTAGGTTTGACTTCTGCAATCTTGTCAATCCAAATCAGACCCTAATAGGATGGACAGCAGTGGAGCACTCAGCTAGAAATGACCGTTCATTGGCCCATATATGCAAGGTATAAGACTCATGGAGGATTTCAGTCATCTCTCCACTGAAACTGACCATTAGCAGCTGACAGGAAGACATAGAAGCCTTGCTATGAAAAAAGCCTCATCCTTGTAGAGTTTGGTGGATTTTCTGAAACAAAGGGAAACTCCAAGGAAAAGTCATAATTAAATTATAAATATTTCTCTAATGGGTTCATGCCCTGCTAATGTGAAGAAAGATGTAGATGACATAAATTTTTAAAAGAAATAACTATGCCATAAATATGAGCATATAGAGTTGTTTTATACTTTATACAAATCAAGTCTTTTTCTAGATTTTAAGTGTTTTATTAGCAATTATTTACAAATACTGAAAATGGAGAAATAAATTATGCTATGGGACTTTTGTTAACTATGTATGAAAGAGTTATAAATTTTAAGGAAAAACTCTTGGTCTGATAATGCAGTTTGAGCTTCTGTTAAAAGTAAATCATCTGCCTTTCCAAGGCACAGCCCATAGTTCATAAAATACACTGTTGTTGCCCACTTAATAGCCTCTGTTTTTCTTGCCAATTAGGAAGTGAGAGTCACTGCTGATGTTGAGGGAGTGGATCTGAATTCAAGCCCTTGGACAAGGAAAGGAGCGCTTCCTGCACCTAATGGTGGCAGGTGGGGAGCTAGCGAGGAACGTGTAACAGAGTCTCTGCATAACACATTTTAATGTGGCAGAAAGTTCCATGGTTTTGTAATTTTCTTCAGTGGTACTCAAGAGACTGAGTAGAGAGGTGTGGAAGAGAATTATACCCTGAACTGGTTTTAAAGCTTTACCAAGAAGATCATAACAGAGTAAAAGAGGGAGAGAAAGTTGAGGGTATTGAAAAGAGAGGGAATGGAAATGATTAATCATGAGATTTAAATGGAAGAGAGAAGTAAACAGGGCCAGCAGGTTAAGATATTAGGACAAATCAGAGCAAGACTTAGAAGATACAATAATAAGTTTAAATATTATTGAAAATGAAAGTATGAGTGAAATGGATAAATAGGAAACTTATGGATAACATAAGTATATGAGGTTGAAGAGCAAAAGAGTTAATTTTAGGCAGTGTTTATTGAGCCCAAACCACACACAAAGTACGGCTGGCCCCTCTGCTGGATGTATTATACATAATTTCTCTTCTACGAAAGACAACTAACACACAGGTGAATTGATAGTGAGTAGAGGCATAAACATTACTTAAGAGCACAAAGGGAAGAGCAATTAATTTTGTTTTAAAAAGGAGAAGAATTACAGGAAAGCAGTTTGGGACTAGTGACCCTACCCCTCCACTACTAAATTATAGGGGGTCAAGAAAACCAAAAGATTTTCTGTGTCAATTTTCAATGCTCAGAGTTAGCATGTAGGCGGTAAAGTAACAATGTGAACCTAAGGTTGAGGTCATCGGCAAAGTAGAAAATAGTAAGCTGGCATTTAGTTGTGGGAAGAGCATTCCTAGAAGGAACTAACCAGGAGGAGAGGAGCTCAGATTGCTTGGTGCAGATGGACAATGCAGTGAGAATTCTGCAAAGCCCAAGGACAGCTTGAGAGTGTCAGGGTTGACAGGGCTGGGGAATACATAATGAAGTATGTGCATCTTGGGGAACTTTTGAGAGAAGACAGAAAACAAAGAAACAAAAAAAGATACAAAGCTGAGATAAACCCAAAGAAATATTGTGCTTAGTCTATAAATTGCCTAGCATCAAATTAGCCAGGCTACCAATAAGAAAACAATTTACAGGCCGCAGCACCATGTGACATAATGGTTTGGATTTTCCTAGTTCATGTAATCCAAGTATATGCTGAAGCTATATGTCAAAATTCAAATAACAGTAATGATTACAACAATAGCTATTTTTTGGAACAATTATACATATTCAAGGCACACTTCTGAGCACTTTCAGTATATTAACTGTATAATCCTCACAGCAATCTTATAACTCAGGCACTATTTTCATATCCAGTTTAAAGATAAAGAAACTGATGCACAAAGAGTGTATTTGTCCATTCTTACACTGCTATAAAGATCTACCCTGAGACTGGGTAATGTGTGAAAGAAAGAGGTTTAATTGACTTACAGTTCTGGATGGCTGGGGAAGCCTCAGGAAACTTACAATTATGGCAGAAGGGGAAGCAGGCACTTTCTTCACAAGGCAGTAGGCTAGAGAGAGAGACAGAGAGTATGAATGCAGAAGTACCACACTTTAAAACCATCAGCTCTCATGAGAACTCAGTATCAGAAGAGCATGAAACACACAGCCCCCACAATCAAATCGCCTTTCACCTGGTCCCTCCCCTGACATGTGGGAATTACAATTTGGGACGAGATTTAGGTGGGGACACAGAGTCAAATCATGTCAAAGAAGTTGAGTAGTTTATCCAGAGACATATATCTAATATGCATGAGAGCCAAGATTCAAACTCAAAAATTCAACTCCAGACCTATACCTCCTAATATTAATGCTGCATTGCTTCTCCAAGTAGACTTTAGGTCTCTGAATTACAGATAGTAATAATTATGTGCTCAACATATATTCGTGGAATTTACTTGTTTGTTGAATCCTACTGTGAGTTGGATTTTGCTCTAAGTGCTGGTACTATACTGGAAAAGAGGAAATGGAACATTCCAAAGTAAATTCAATATTGAAGAACACTTTAAAAAAATCTTCTGATATGCAATTTCCATCTTTTCAAGAACATTAAGTAGGTTTTGTTTTCTACACTCTTTCAGATAGAAAGCTTATGCCAACTACTATACTTGAGATTGTCATTCTTATATGAAGAGATTGATGTTGCCTCTACTCTAGCTGAGAACTTGGCTGTGAAAGCAACATAGTAGAAAGTGAAATTCTAGAAGAGATTAGCAAACAAAGATCTATGCTATTCTACTTTAATCTTTTAAGTATTTGATTTGAGCATTGGGTGGGCTTTCCAATGCTCTCATACAAATTTCAAGAGCTTCACAATTGATTGCCAATAATCAAATTATGAATGTTGAAAAGATTAAAGAATATAAATACCTAGCTTTTAATTGAGGGAGAAGAAAAGCTACCAACATTTTGATATCACATTGCTTGCTTTTAATTATGCCCATAGTAGAATGTAAAACCTTTCATTGTAACGGTTGTTATAATGTGCAGAAAATGATACTAACAGAAATATTCTCATTAAAATCCTAATGAAACAATAGTGTCTTCCTTTAGGGATGCCACAAGATACTCTAACTAATAAGTCTATTTCCAAATGAGCTGACAAAATGAGCAAAGCTCTGCAATTCTGCCTTTTGACTGTGATATTTAGGAATCTTTCTCATTATTAAGTCTCTTCTTAGCCTCCCACTCAATATGTACATGTGAACAAATTCAAAGATCCTGAACTTACAGAGGAAGTTGGAAATTTCCCCACAAGAAACTCAAGCCCATAAATCAGGGCAGCAATGGGAGTTCCTGCTATTTTAATGCATTTATAGTAATACGTCTCCTGAATGTAATTTTAAAAATGCAATTTTCAGCTCCTTAAATTAGTGAGTGTACAGTATGATTTCTGACAGCACCTATGTATTATTCTCAAATAATCATAAGAGGGACAACTCTTTCCACAAATGATATTATTTCCCCTAAATTCACAATATGGAATCAAACTGCTAAAATATATATATATATATAAACATGCCTATTGAAATCTATATGTAACACACACACACACACACACCACACACACACACACAAAGTGTGTGTGTGTGTGTGTGTGTGTGTGTGTGTTTGTCTGATGAAAATCAATGCTTCAGTTTCAAACAACTCTGTGTAACTGGCTCATATGTTACATAAACTATGCACCTTGGTTCTTAAAGAATTAATTCACTACAGGGGCAAGCAATTCTGCCTTACATAATGACCTCTAAAGTATCTATGTTAAGATAAATGGAGTCGAAGTATAGGTAATAATTCAAAATAGGAAACAGTAGCATACATTTCTTTGAGCCTTGGGAAGCTTTACATGATTTATTATGCTTACTGAACTTACCTTGATAATGAAGTTGTTTTAAAATGGATATTAAAAAGATCTAGGAATACCTGAGAACAAAGGAAAACAAAATTGGCAGATGGCCATGATGGAAAAATTCTAAGTGTCAGAAAAAAGGTGATCCAGAATCCAAAATTGTCTGTATGTTCCCCATAACATGGATATTTGATAGATGAGTGATTAGATTCAACTGAGCAATTATAGGGTATTTGACCTATTTCCAATCACTTTATTCAAACTTAATTCATAATTAGAAGATGGATTCTGCTTATATTTCCTAACTAGATAATGCATTGTTCCCTGTATAAAATTTTAGCAGAAAATGAGATAGTATATAACCCATAGCTTCTACCATAGGAAGTTTTTCTAATTATGATAAGGCTACATTTGTTACAGAAAAGTATCTAAGCATTTAAACAAAGGGTTTTGTATGGAAAAGCTGAAATAAATGGACTTACTACTAATAATCACATGGCCACTTAAATTTTCACAAAATACTTAATTTCAACCAAAATCAATGAGGAATTTTGAAGCTGTTTAAATAATTTCCTTTAGTATCATAATAAAAAGAACAGAGCAGCGTGATCTGTTTTAAATGGCTCTCAGGAACAATAGGCTGCTTTTCACAGGAGTTGAAAGAGAAAATGGATGAGCTCCTGCCCTTGATCCCCGTGCTGGAACAGTATAAAACAGATGCTAAGTTAATCACCCAGTTCAAGGAGGAAATCCGGAATCTGTCTGCTGTCCTCACTGGAATTCAGGAGGAAATTGGTGCCTATGACTATGAGGAGCTACATCAAAGAGTGCTGAGCTTGGAAACCAGACTTCGTGACTGCATGAAAAAACTAAGTGAGTATGACAATTTCATTTGTCTAAGTTACGTTTTCATGTAGTTTCAAAGAAAATTGTGTTCTTACGTTTTATAAAGCATCATAAAATATCTAATTGTAAGAAATCACAGCCTAAGTGTGAAGTGTCCCCTAACGACTTAAGCGTGTCTAGGTACTCCGTGCTAGACCAATGGTTTCTTGATTTTTAGAGCACTGTGTTATCATTTGGTGGCTTCACATAAGTAGTCTTGCAAATACAGTCAACTCTATTGACTGCACTAGTGGACATACGTTTTATTTTCCAATACGTGGTATCAGTCATCGCTTGGCCGGGGGAAAAAGAAACCTTTGTTGCTGTTGTTGTTGTTAGTAGGGAAATTTAGAGACTAAGGAAAAGGAAGTTACCCTGGAACCAAATGTTAAACAGCAATTATTAAAGCAAACGGAAACAGGTCCTTCAATTTACAGCATTGTCATCAACTGCTCCGATCTACTGAAGAAATGAAAGGGAGGCAGCTACTTAAAGGGACTCGCCACTGTGTAAGGAGTCAAGTGTGTGCCCTGGGTCATGGACTCTAGTTCTTGCCTCCGAAAATGTGTGGTCCAACCTGGTCTGAGTTACAAACTCTTTCATGGCATCCATGAGCCAATTATTCAGTCGAAGCCAACATGGGACTAGTCTGCAACTTGAATGTAAAATAAACAAGTAGCCATGAATTGAATAGGAGGAGTGGTAAGTTTATTCAGGATCAGTATTTTAGTTGCAGGCATGAGGTGACATGACAAAGAGAGCAACTCCATTCCTATAGAAAGTGTTCTCTCAAGAAAAATAAAACCTTTTGTGGAACAGAAAAACTGGGAAGAGGAGTAAAGCATAAAAAAGAATGATTATTTCTACTAAAGAAAACTTCAGTGAACAAATGTAAACATTTAAAATACAATTTGAGTGGCTTACAAGAACATTTTAAAGATTGTTTTACAAATATGCTTCATGTGATAAAAAGAGATCCAAAATGCAAAATGTTACATTCAGTTATCACAGCATCAAAATAGTGTGGGATATTACTACATCAGAGGCTCCCCTGTTATTCTACCAGGGTTTCTAAGAGAATCCAACAGAGTGAATCAGAAGGAAATAAGGTAAACCTGAAGCCTAAACACATGTCCAAGATCCTCAGCTCCTTACTCCTCATCAAACACGGTCTACACTCTTTCATCTACAGTTTGTCTCCTAACAATCAACTATGCGTAATACTGCAGATCCTGCGACTCCAGCTTTCCTTCCTAACTCATCGTGCACATTATTTCCCAAGGGATTTTCTCAAGTATAAATATGAAATTATTTTGAGCTTCTTAAAATCTCCTATGGATTCCTTATGTCATAGGATATAGTCCATGGCTTATGTGACCCTTCATGTGTGGACCCTTCTGCTTCTCCAGGCTTAGGTTTTGCCATTTCTCTCCTCACACAGTGTCAGTCATGTGTGCCTTCCACGGTCTTACTATAGAGCAGTTATACGATACTGTTTGTTCCTGCTCCTGAAACACTCCTTCCCCTATGTACCCTCCCTTCATCAACACACTTTCACCTGCCACATGTGATAAACTATTCATTTGTCAGGTCTCAGTTTAAATGTTGTGTCTTGCTGGACTCATTCATTGCCCTCCCAGACTAGGCTGGTGTCCTTGACAGGCACTTCCAAACACTGATATTTCACTAATGATTGGACTTCTCTTGTTTCATTATCATTGCATGTGTAATAGGATGTGTCTTGCTAGACTTTTTTTCCGAGGACAAGAGAACAATGTGTATCATGTTCACTCTATGTGTTGGATCTTCCAATGCCTAGAAAATTGCCTGGCTAAGAAAAGACACTCAATAAATATTTGGTGAACAAATTTACTCTATAAGGAATCAGAGAAATAATTTCTACGCTTCTCAACAGAGCATTACCCATTTCAAGTAGCAGAGAATGATCTGTTTTACTTGTAACAAGAAATGCATCTTTTTAGCCACATCCTATTTGAGCCAAAATGGCAAGGCGTGATGAGACTAAGCAAGGGAAAAGTCATTTCTTTAACATAGCACTTAAATAATTTTTTAATGTGCTCTGCTTTTATAATTCAAGTTGTACAGTTTATGATTAATATATAATAGGTAAACATTACTTACATAAGGAAATTCTGCTGTTATATTTGATTTTTTTTATGTCAAGAAATATCTTTAGTTCAATGCTCATATTAGTGACAGGGCTTGCCAGATGTTGTCTCCACCCAATAAGATTAGAAATAAATCTCAAATGAAGAATTACCCGGTGTCCTCAATATGCACATTACTTAGGGTGTTACAAAGAAATATCCCAATGCATTTTGCATTAACTCATAAAATATCTGGTTAAAGATTTTCTGCAAGAGACAGTCTGTAGGATTTGTCTGGGTAGGGCTTTGACTTACTTTTGAGGAGGAGGCCCGTTTGTTATAGAGAAACCATTCCAGGCCCTGAGAATCAGTTCACTTTTTTATTCCTAGCATATCACAATCAACCCAAGCCCATAGGCATTGCATGTAGTGAACCAGCATCTGCTAAGTAAAAATGCACTCTACTGAAGCAAGGACAGGCAATAGGATGATTCTAGTTAGTAAACCCCCTGAAACTTAAAGTATGTCAGTTATGTTTTTGAGTGAACAATACAGAAAACTCCCGGGATTTGTTCAGTTTTAGAAATGAGCTTTCCTTCTACAGGTATTCTGTCTGCTTTAGTAGATGGAAATAATCTGTACTGCAAATGGGTAGTTCTATATTTTCCTCAGCTCTTTTTTAATCCCATTTGTTTGTTGTTTCTCACCCACATATTGCATCTTCCAATACTGAAAATGATATTTTGGACCAAGGGGGTTAATCTAAGTAGACCATATTCATCCTTTTTATTCTTCCTACTGAACTTTGCATAATATTTGTATAGTGTCCTTATGCTTAGGACTTGATCCTTAATATCTGCAACATCACGGATCTTTTCAATTAATTTTCTCCAGTGGATCACAATGTTAGAAATAATTTGATTGACAAATAAACTGAATTAGTTAATCAATATTTATTTTATTTTAGCTAATATAAAATAAAACGTGGCAACTAATACAATACAAATATCAAACAGCAATAAAATCCGTATTCAACTTTCTTATTTAATGAGATGGTTGCTGTATAAGTTAACTGAGATGACTCTATAAAATACTGAAAATAGTTCCTATGTTTCACAAATGCTTGCGTAGATTATTAGCAGCCCTCAGCTTCTTATTCACTTAGTAGAGAGGCCATTGCCACCAACAATGAATCTAACTCTTTTGTGGTTTTTATCTCAAGAACTGGGTAGATTTTACTATCCCATCACGTTTAAGTCAATTGACCACTTATTGAGCATCTCCTGAGGAAAAAGGATATTTTATCACCTGGACCACAGCCCTTAATTACAATGTAGAAAACATCCAGGCAAAGCTATACAGTCCTAATACAGTGAAATATAAAGCCACATGGTCACTGAAAAAATAAATAAATGAATCCTCATATTTTCTATTTTTTAAAAGAGCCACTCTATTTGAAAGAAGATGTCTGGTAGTATATATTACATATATTGCATAAATGTATGTATGTATATACACAACTGCAGAAGAAATCAAACATATAACTTTGAGTGTATCAGTAGGTTATAGTTTGATTAACACTCAATTTAGTATTTACATTCCCTGGCAATTGGTACAGTTTGGATCAATTCATCTCTGAGAACCGTTTCACTACAAGTCTAATATTATCTCATAAGTGTCTCATTATCCATATATCAGGATGCATGGACTTTGGGAAGAAAACTGATGTTAACTTCAGGACCATGAACAGAAGGGTAGATAAAAAGAAAAGCATATCAGGGGTTCAATTGCTCCAAAAGGGTCTATAATCTAGTTGTTATTGTGCTCAGATCTAGAGTGGGACATTGGATAATTATAGAATTGGTAATACAGTAACAAGAACAAGAAGACTTATTCATCAATGGCATCTTCACTCTACACAAATGCTTCTCAACCCACAGGGCCAATTAGCAGAGGGTAGAAATGGATTAGAGAGAAACAATAAAATTACAACAACGATGAATGTGTTTTCCCTCACTTTTTCAGGGGGTTGGTTTTAAATAAATGTCACAGGGTACATCACATGAATTTTAAGATGCTAAAAAACAAGGCAGTCTTATTGCCTGCAAGATCTAAGTTACCCTCAAATAGTAAATAAGGCCCTAAAGGAAACATAAGTCTTCAAGACCGCTAGGGCACCATGGGCACTATTCTGCTTATTTCTACTACAGAATTAATTAAAGGTTTGAAGAAATTGGGAAACTGTCTCAACAACAATGCACCCTCTGGCCTGAATGAGGTACAGTAATGGCCTTTTCTAAGTGCTTAATGTACTCCAATGAAAGAGAAGAGAATAAAGTCCCCTTTTCTTAATTGAATCATGTCACATTCCTAGATATGCAGAATGTAACTGTATGTATGTGAGAATTTGACTGAAAACATGGTTAATGTTGTACACACCCCTAAGGACACAAATAGATATTTAATGTAGATAATAATAATGATTTCTGGCTTTCCATTCCTTTGCCCCCAACTCCCTTGTGTTAGTGCTGTTTTAGGGCAATGGTTTGGTGCCATCTAGTGAAGCACTAGATTCCATTACACTCAAATGTTCCTTCTGTTCCCAAAACTCCAGTTTTGAGACTTCATGTTTAACAGAAGGAACATTAGAAACTTAAGGTCACAGGTAGAGACTTGAGTTTACTGTCTTTACTGTTTATGCCAAATTAGTTTTTAAACAAGAACCAAATTATATTCTGATATTTTTATTTAACAATTATTTATTGACTCCCTAATGTGTCCTGGTACTTTGCTATAGGTATTTGTGGATAAAAAGATGGGAATGAGACCATCTCCCTCTTCCTGTCAAGGTTACATTTTAGTGGGTACAACTGACACATA